TGAGTTTACTCAGGGCTGACCATCTGACACAATTTCCTCCCAGATCTCAAAGCCTCTGCTTTGAGCATGCTGGGCAGACACAGGATGCTTGTGGGTGTGAGAAAGGGCCTGGCAGATGACTAGCCCAAAGCCATGACCTGATGGGGGTGCGTGTCACCCTTTAGCACTAATGCCAGGCTTAGGGCAGGCTCCCTTTTGACTGGGTTTTTCCATGTTTACTGTAGTTACAGGACAACATTTACAAAGAGAGAGCTACACAAATGATTTTAAAGAGGCAGAGTGAGGACACAGCCTATTGTTAAGGCTGCACTTTCCACCACCAGACCTGGCTCTGACTTGTTTCCAGCACTTCAGCCACTTGCTCTGAAATTGTCCATGCTGTTGGGAAGCTCCCCACGCTGTTCTGCAGGCCCTTTGGAAAATAGGGATTTGTAACTGCATAGTTACAAACATATATACACACATGCAAATGGAGAAAATGGACTTTGGTGTGCACAGACAATGTGAATTTTGGTAGATCTTCAGAGTGAGCAGATTGTTAAAATAATTAATTCCTAAGAAAATAAATTGGAGCCTGGATAACTAAAATGACCCCTTGTCTTGGGTCACCAACAATGCTCAGTAGTTTTGAGTCACAAAGTATTTGTCTATCACCTGATCTGACCAACAGCTGGCACTGGCACTAGAAGTGGATGTCACTGTACCCTTGAACAGAATTTTCACCATTTATCTGCTGACCTCAGAGAAGAGAAACATGAAAGACTACAGTTGTGGACAAGGAAAAATCTCTGGATCCTTCACACCTACTGTCCATCAAAACACTTATCTCAATGCCATGTGAATCTCTCATTTCTCCCACAAGCCCTTTTCCAGCCAGTCCAGTGCATCCCCTCTTCCCACCTTTATCTCCTGCAGTCCTGCCATCCCAGTCCCCTTCTCTTGCACATCCTGCCAGACTCCAGCCAAGCTGCTCCCTCCTCTTCTCCCTGTTCAGCAAAGCACAAACCTGGGGGCCTACAAACCAAAACCAACGGGCAACAACAGACCTAAGGCTCTGTCCCGACAGAGCATCATCTATCTTATCTGTAACAACTCCCCGGGAAGGAGGTTTCCTGGCCTCCCTAGGTGGTCTTGCAACAGTTTTATGATGATAACAGGATGTTTTCTCAACATCCAGCTTAAATCATCCTGGCAAATTAGCAAATGAGTAAATTAAGGTGCCATGGATATCTGGGACTTTAATAACCACTATTACATGCTGGCAGACTGCTAGATTGCACAGCGGTTTTCTTTTTGTTGCACTGAATAAATTTAGTTCTTTCAATCTCTTCTCACATTTCTTAATCTCTTCTCATTGTTTCCTTCTGGACACTCTCCAATACACCCATGTCCTCCTCAGAGCAGGGCACCCCAAACTGGATTTGATGACACTGATGATGGCTCCACAGTGCCACACATGAGTAAGTCACCTCCCATACCTTATGGAGGATGCTCCTTCAACGTAACTCAAAACAAGATTTGTCTCTTTTGCAATAGCCTCTCACTGTTCATTCATTTGTAATCCACTAGAAATCCTCAGGTTTTTTCTACTCATCCTTCTCCAGCTTAAACCTGACTTGGTAAACGTGCATTTTGATTTCTCCTTTACAAATGAATCACTCTCTGGCTTCTTTTATCTCTTATCTGGATGTACTCTCCAATTTCTTAAGGTCACTCTGAACCCTGACCCTATTCTCCCAACCGCCTGCAATCCCTCCCAAGCTGATGTCATCTGAGTGTTATAAACAGAGCTCCATCTTCCAAATCATGACTGAAAATATTGCAAGTTTTCCCCCAGAAAGTGACCTTGCTGATATATCACACATTACTGCACTACTTGGATCAGTGGAGAGATGAAAGTGCAAGTTTTTTCCAAGCTTCACTCTCTGTGAAGGTATTTAGAAATGCCACATTTATCTAGCAAGCTGCAACTTCCGAAAACACAGACATTAATTAGAAACTAATTCCTGTGGTAAAGGTAGGATGCATTAAATTAAACAGGAACTAACTAATAAAATTAATAAATGCAATGGGAAGGCTATTTCCCAGTGAACTCCGTTCCTGAGGTCAGCCAGCTACACTTTCTCACTCACAGGCTTAGACAACCGAAGCCATTGGATGAACTCAGCACTGCAACCTTATCCATCCTGCCACGTGAAGACAAAGATTTAGCAAATAATGAATCACAACCAATTTCTGGGATCAACACAAGAGAAGTACATCAGGATACAGTTCATTTCAAACTGTTGCTTTACTTTTATACTGCTGGAGCCACCAGGGACCATTTTAAATTATTTTAATATCGCAGTATGCAGAAGCCAAACCAAATTTCTCACCAGAGTTAAGAATTATTTAAATTTAAAAATTTAAATTATTTAAATTTAAAAAAAATGCTAACCTCTGGTTTTAATAGATCACATCAAGTGATTATCCCAGCTCTACTAAAGATTCCCAAACTAAGCAGGAAGATAAGGACCAGGGAAGTCTCTGGCAGGATGAGCACCCACAGCCTACCTTGAAAGGAGCTTAGGAAGTTCTGGTTATTGAGTTTCTATAGCTGAACAGATACAACCTCTGAGAAATCATTCTGGCAATTTAACAAACACACTTTAAAACCCTATTTTAACTGGAAAAAACATTTTTCCATTATTTTCTCTTCAGTGCTTATAACCCCACAGACTATTATTTTCCTAAACATTTTTCAGCAGCAGCTTTTCCATGATATGTGCAAGAGTCTTTCTCAGGTAGAGTCTTCTGAAACAACTACAGGGGAAAGTGTGAGGGCCTGTACTATATGTGTAATACTGGCATTATGAATACAGCTAATTCTAAAAACTCTTCACAATTTTTAATTCTTCGGAACCCAACTCAGGAGTTTCCCTCCTTCTCTTCCCCATGTGCTCAAGCTACTGTCCTTCAGCCTGACTGCACTATACAAGTTGCACTTTTCAGACTTCAAAATACTTTTTTTCCATAACTTGTGCATCTGAAAAGCTTTCCACATTGTGCAAAGTTCTCATAAACCCCATAAAACAGGAGTTAATGCAGTTCCCAAGATCCAAAGCTGCTGACAGCACTGGTGAGACTGCAAAATACCTGCAGCTCCTGACCAGGTGCAACCAACAACATTTCTATTCGCAACAAGTTAAGAAAACCACTTTTACTAACCACAAAATGGCTCTGTAATAAGAAGGCAATAAGCACCTGAAAGACTTCTGGCTACAAAAAGAGCCAGGACTAAATAAAGCAGAGACAGGACGTGGCAGGAGATGCACACTGTGCAATGGCTCTCACCGTCAGCTCCGGCCCAGCCTACACGTGTGAACTGAGCTCTATTTATAAGCCCTCCACTTTTTTTTTTTTTTTTTTTTTTTTTCAAATGACCTTAATATAGTGCAGTTGTTATTTTGTTTCTGTTGAACTTAGCAACAGGAAACCCTGTCAGTCCTGCAGCAAACTTTCCATTCCCCTGGCACTCCCATTCCTGCCTCGGAAAAGCCAGATTTCTAAAGAGGTGTTTGACGAGGCGGGAGGGAGAGGGAGAAGAAAGCACACACACAGAAATCAAAATGCCCGTAAAACATGCAAAATGGAAGCCAAATGCAATAAGTTTCTTTTACGTCTGTTTGAAAGGAAAAGGCAATGTCCTAATTTGCATTTTCTAAAGATATCTTAATTCACTACCAGATTCCAAAATATTGGTCAGGAATACCTTTAATAAGGAGTCAGTAAAAATAAAAAAATCAGCAGCATCTTCACACTCACGCATTCCAGTAATGACAGACTTCCTTATCAGACAGTACAAATTTTAGCTTGGAAAGTTATTTTCTCTAGTCCCTGGTTAATTCACTGAGCAAACAGCTACAGAAATTAAGCCTTAACTTGTTAAAAACATAATAAACCTGATTTTATTACAGGCTTTGGCAAGACTGTTCTGCTGCTCAAAGAGCTTTACTGCACGATGAGCAAAGATTTTTGGAGCTCCACCCTGCAGTGTGAACTCATCCCCACCGTGTTTTCTCTTTTAACAGCTTCATAATGGTAAGGGAACACACAAACACAGCTGCTCAAAGGCAACGTGCACCAACATAAGCTGACAGCAATTTAGCATTTACAAAACACTTTTTCAGGTACAAGAAACCATACATAAAATATATCAGCAAATGCAAATCCAGCTAGGAAAGGTCAGACCAAGAAAACACAGCTCTTGACAAAGCAGAATATGTATTAGGGATGCTTTAAATCAAAATTCTGTTCATGTCAAACACAATACACACCCTTTTTAATCACAGACAGTCCTTAAATACGGCAAAGCACAAGTAATAAAAGCAATACCAACACATTCCTGATTCTTGGCATGACCTTTTTATACTGTTTCACCAACATGAACAATATTGGCTTTCACCCCACATTTGATCCCTATATGTCTTCCCATTATTCATTTTTCTTCCAGCTGAGGCACTAACACTCCCAGCTAATGATGCCACACACCAACATTCACTGCAGCCACGGTTCCTTCTGCCAAAAACTCTGCAGAAGGACAAAGCACAGGAAAGGATGGAGAGACTCTCCAGGACCACGCAGGCAGCAGCTGGGTGCAGGGACCTTGAAGGTGCTGCTGGCCCCCACACAGCATCACCAACCCCAAGTGCATTCCAGGACATGGCTTTTGTCAAATCATACACTAATCTTGGTATAACCTTGCCCCACAAGCAACCTCTTGGCTCAGTCTCTCTGTCATTGGCTGAGAAAACATAAATGTGGCTTAATCCAGCGGTTGAAAATGCAGGGTCTAAAAAAGCTCAGACTATTTTTAAAAGGCTAAAACAATGTCATGGTGATGGATGCTGTTCAGCAGAGGGTACAGAAATGAAACCAGAAGGTTTGGTGGTTGGTTACAGCAGCGGTGGCATGTCTTTAAACAGCACAGCAAGAGACAAGGTGACAACACGTGCACTCACCACTTCCTCGCGGGCAGCGCTCTCGGTGCCGTCTTTCAGAAAATCCACCTCGTCCTCAGTTTTCATTTCCAGCTTCCCTGTGAAAACAGAGAGTCCACAAAGGTAATTTAAAAACAAATTCCTTTCAGTGCTACTAGTATTTTTCTGTTTACTCAAAACAGTCTCAAAAAAACCTGCCAAAAATGAAAAGAAAACCCGATGCCCAAACCCCTTCAACAAGTCCATTTAAACCCCTTCAAGTCCATTTGACTTCCAACATCTGGTTTCATTCCCAACTTTCCTCCTTGGTTGTTATTAGTTTTAACAACTTTTTGTGTCTATGACTGAAGGAAAATATGAAACAGCAGCAAGCACAGGGTAAAACTCCTGAAAAGCTGAAGGTGAGGCCAAGCACATCTGCATGTATTTGCCCATGTATTTTTTTGGCTCCAATTCATCTAGATAAAGAAGTAAAATTTTTGCTGTTTTTCTTCTTATCATAACCTGAAGATAACTCAAGAAACCAGCCTTGCCTTCTCTCAACAGGTATTTTAAGTGTTGGAAAAAAATATAATCTACAAGCTGCAAAAATTCATCCCACCTCCATTGCCTTAAGGGTGACAATCACACCTCTGGACTAGGAAGGTAAACCCTTGTTCTTCTGGAGTTTACAAAAGTCCCAGTTGATTCTCCCCTTCCTCATGCTCTCACGATGGTGTCACCACCACAGTAATATAAATATCATGTCCCAGCTGCTTTCTCTGCCCAACAAAACTTTCATTAGTCACCATTCCCCAGGGGTTCCCCCAGCTTACCTTTTCCTGGCATGAAGTCAACATCCTAATTCGCTTTCAACCCTAAGCTAATGACTCTCACGTCACATAGGACAGTTTTAGAGGAGTGAAGAGATTTGACCAAAGCCAACCAGACGGAGAGTGGCTGTGTCAGGGCTAAACCCCCCCTCTAATCCTGCTCCCTCTCTCATTTCTACTAAAAACAAACACTGGATGGATGACAACGCCTTCTTAAGGGCGACGCGTGTTTGCAGTGAGTTTACCGTTCAGGGATTTAGCAAGAGAAGCTTCCCATCTTCATGGGGAAGTCGCTGTAACAACTGTTACCAATGTTTTTCCACTGGCTTTAAATCTACCCTTGATTTTTGGGACTATCTGGTTTTGCAATGATTTTGTCTCAACTGGATGAGTTCATGGGCAGACTCAAAAATCAGAGGTAATGCAACAAATTTCCGTTGAGTGCCATTTGCTGGGAGATCTACTCGGCATCACGGCAATGCCGTGATGGTTGAGATATTGGTCCAAGGACAGAACACTCAAGGAAGAAACATTTAGTGCACTGAGGATAGGAGAAGGAAGTGGTGTAGTGATACCCCGTGCTGGCTGAGAACTGGAGGACAAAAACGTGCCCTCAGGATGAAATTCAAGAGAACAACTTTTTGTACTCTGCCACTTCTTAAACTTCTATTAAGAAAAGTATCTCAAAGGAAAAGCTCTATGATGCTGTCACAGAGGTCTCTGGGCACACAGCACCTAATTACACAGGGGGTATCATTAGTGACATTTGTTACCTGTTCATCCTGCCACTCTAACAGGGGAAGGAAATACTAAGTGCTTTTTCATAGGGAAAATGCCACTTATAAGTATGAGGTGAAGACTGGTAAAGTTCAAATAAGGTGATATACTTCTATCTGTCCATGAATGTTTTCTTGAAAGGCTGAGATCTACAGGAGATACACTGGGGATATTTCTCCCAGGAGAAAAGCTACGGAGCAGTAATTACAGTATTTGTTAATTTAAGATGACAAACCCCAACCGTACAATCTAACCTTGCCAGGTTTGGTTTCTGCCAAGAAACTGCAACTACTCCAAGGTGTTTTGTCAGCATAAATTCATGCCATTTCTTCTCTTCTCACCCACCCAGGTTACTGTGGTATGATTTCATATCCTAACTCCCTTCTTTTTTAATGAGTAGTATCTACCTGCCTGACTTGCAAAAAATGTGCTCGCAGAACCCATTACTCAGCTGCAATGCAGCTCTGAGTCTAAAGCCAACAGCATGAGGAGATGCCTTAGAAAAGCAGGATATTCTACCTTAATTACCTTCCTTCAGTATTGTGACCAGTCACTAGATATTTGTCTGGATAAGGAAATTAGCCTTTTGAAGTTTTTGCTTTGGGAGTAGGCGGAAACTAAGCAGAGGCAATGAGATAAACAGGTGTATATTTGGGAGCAGCTTCACGATATAAATAAAAAAGTTAAAGAGCTCAATGATTTGGAGTAATGGCAACAGCAATTATCAGCTGATCACATCTCTGATAAGTTACCATGACAATAAAATCCTCTGACTACACGTGTTTCTGAGAAATGGCCTCATGACCTACACTTCCCTTGAGAAGGCTTTATTGTATTCCATCAAAAAAAGATGTGATTCATTGTGTGCACTGACGACTCTGTCATGGACACAAAATCCTCTGTACAAACCCAGCCTGCAGGGAAAACTGCCCAGCACTGGTACAGCAAAGAAGAATTGAAGGTTATCACTGAAATCATACACAAAATGTGCTACCCAAGGCTAGACATCAACATGAAGAATGTACACAACAATAATAATAAACAATAAATCAGTTCTCTTGAATTACTGCCATATCAGAGTTCTAGATGCTGCTTTATAGGAGGTGAGTTTCAGAAACATTTCAAATAGCAAGCTTGGATTCATAGCAGCCGTTTGTCTCTGCTTTAATATTTTATTTGCACTTCCCTAACATTTTGCTTCAAAAGAATCCTGAAGTATTTCAAGAGACAGTATTGCAGTTGAAATTTTGCTCTGTGCAGCATCTCATTGCAAATAAACAATTTTTGCTTAAGGCGAGGTCAGATCGTTGTATCCCAAGACCTTTTAGACCTAAATCCTTACGTATGGTAAATCAGTTACAGGATCACTTCCTTTCCCCCCCCCTTTCCCTATTCTAACACAGAATGATGTCTTAACATCATTTTCCTACTTTAGCTACTTTCTTATTGGATTGTCTAGTCACTTTTCCTTCTAAAACCTCGCCTAGACAATGTCATGCCTCCAAGAATCCAACCACAGATAAAGACCTGGACTGTACAGAGGGAGCCAGCAGAGCCGCAGGTTCCCAGGAAAAAGGAGCCCTGCCAGGTATTGAGTTACAGCCACTCCCATCCTATTGAACTGTTAAACCAACACAGCACTAAAACAGGTTCCTTCCAAAAACGGCTTTCGAATCCACTTTTAAATCTTTCTACTTATTTACTAATGATCTCCTGACTCATAGTTACTGGTTATCTGTTGAAACATAAGTGTCCTAAAAATTCTGAACTCAATGAAAAAGGGATATGCTGGACCCGCCATTGAGCCCCCCAATCCTTTCTCCTGCCCCCAGTTTTTCTGCCATCATGTATCAGAACAAACCCTCTGCCGTCATCCCATATTGCATTAAGTCAAAAAAAAACCAGTTCCCAGCATTAAAACAGTGAAACACCTTTATAACATCACAACTTCATGATTTATATCATAGCAGACTTTTTTTAATTGTTTAAATGCTTTGTTTGTTTGTTTGCTCAGTGCTGGGAAAGCAAGGAGCACTGTAGCATTTTCTCACAGCAGAGAAAAAAAATGGCAACTGAAAAAGTTCAGCTGCTTCCATTTAACAGCTGCCTGAACAGGTGGAATATGAAGATCAGATTAGCTCCATGCTTCAGTACCAAATTCACCTATCATTTAATTCCAGTCTGGAGTAACAAACTCCCTTTTTTTTTTTTTTTTTTTTGTTATTCAATTTACCCCTTTGTTTCCCTTTTTGGAGTTACCTGGTGATGTTTTCTATTAGCTCCTGTTGCACGGGCACCAGGCGTCTGAGCTGTCCCCAAGTCCTACCGTTCTCTCCCATCACACTCATCCCCGGGGAACGCCCGTTCCGCTTCCCAGCCGACAGCAGCAGGAAAAACTCATCATCCGAGTTCCAGTACTGCTTAAATGCACTGGAAAGCACCACCGGCTGCTCTGTCCGACAAAAAAGCTATGAAGCCCGGAAAAGGGGGTGGGGGTAGGGCTCGCTGGCTTTTTTAAATGACCTAATGCCGCCAATTAGGAAACAGCTTTGGGCAGTTCAGAGGGACATTTGCAGCTGTTTCAAGTAGACAAGCAAAGAAAGCGCAGGAGATCCCCGCTGTACCCTCTGATTTCATGTTAGCAAAAATAAAGGGGAGGCAATAGCACTAAGGAAATAAACCCTTATGCCCAGATGAAAGTATCTAACTTGAAGATAAAGTAATCCAAATAGCTTCCTCCCATTCATTCCTTCTTCAGGGAGGATTCATGAGCTAGAAATTCTTCTGTACAAATTCAAAGGAGATGATGTCCTGTTCTTACCTCCACTGCCAGCCCAGTAACATGCATTTGAATTGGAAGTTTTTACATGTAATTTCAAATTTTTCCTTTCTCAGAAGAAAAACCCCAAACACCTACACTTCCTCTGCAGCGCAGGCCTACAGCTCTTACTTCCTTTGCTGATGAGATGCTAGAGGCACGCCTACAAAGAAAATCTAAAAAGTAGGAAACCAACTGATTTTTCCTACCTGTAACAGGCTCAGCTCCTTGCACTGCCAGGCTGACATTCTTCTTCTTTGTTGAGGAACTTAAATCCATTTCTCCATTACGGCTGACTCCAACATCCACTGCAGCCTGGGGCTCAAGCACCCCTTTTTCTGGGGTTGGTAATTCAGGAGAACGAGGTATCTCTGCTGCAAAAACCACCGCATCAAAACTTTTTACCATTTTAGGAACTTTATCCAGAGAGGAGTCATCGTCTGCCAATACCAAACTCTTTACTCCCACATTTTCCAGTGACTCAAAAGCAGGTAAATGGCAGGAACATGGTGAGACGTGCATTTCAGGCACAGCTTGGCTTTGCTTTCCATCATGCTCATCCAAGGCCTCCCCTTGAGCTGCTTTCCCAACGGGACCAGCATCACCCTCGCCGGCCGGACAAACGGTGTCGGTGCTGGAGTCGCTGTCACACGTGGGCTCCTCTGCGATGGGCTGCAGTGCTGCCCGGGGAAGCACGCTGTCCGTATCCTCCTGCTCCTCCGGATATGCTGCAACAGGGGTCATTGTCACCGGCCTCAGTACTTCCTTACCCTCACAGGCATCACTCGGGGCTCCCATTTCTGAGGTGTCCTTTAACTCAGAGGTGCTGCTGTGCAGGGAGATCCGTTGTAGGGTCTGACTGGGATCATGTTCTTGGTTCAGCCCCGCATTCAGACAAGGGTCACTCTCTGCACCCAGTGACTCATCTGCTGAGGAAGGTCCATGCATGGTGCCTTCTCCTGCGGCCACTGCTCCGGCCTTCCGCGCTTCTTCAGGTTTTTCTTTTAGCCCAGCATCCACATTGCTGCTGCCCACCACAGGCCCCCCAAGACTGCAGGCAGAGGATTTCACAAGAGCAGCAGGAAGTTCCTCTGACAAAACCTGGTCTTTGCCATTCGCATGAGCCTCCCACTCAGGCTCAGCTTTGCCTCCTTCAGCCTGAGAGAGGCCGTGTTCCAGGGAGCCCTCATCCCCAGCACGGTCCCTGGGCCTGCCGGCAGCTACCCCGCCATGCTCCCCGCCGTGCTGCCAGGAGAGCTCTGCCGAGTCTGCCCCCGCCGCCACTGCTTCCTGGTTTTGTTTAGAGTCCTCATTATGAATTGCAGAGGGTGTGCCCATTAAATTATCCTTGGCACAGTCTGTACCATTGGCACATGGCACTAATCCAGGGTCATTACCTTGTAGAGCTGCCTCCTGCCCAGGAGGTGCCACTGCAGCATCTCCCTCCTGACTCACAGCCAGTCCCTCTCCTCTGGGCAGGGGAGCAGGCGACTTCACCTCATTGTTCAGCCCCTCCTGCTCTGAAGCACTTTCTGCTATCTCTGCTTCGGTCTGGGCAGGCTCCTTCTCTGCCAGGCCTGTGCTCAAGTCCTCTGGAGGGAGCGATGCAGGCTCATGTTCACTCTCCTGAGCAATGATTGGTTTGAAGTTGTTGCCCATTTCATCTTTAATGCCAGTCTGAGCAGCAGAAAGGCGACAGCCATCAACTTCCTGACCTGCAGAATTTACACTTCCTCCATCTCTGGGGCTGCTGGTATCAGTTCCTGCTGGCTCCTTTTCACTGCTCTCCATTGCTTCAGCCCCATGGTCAGTGATCTCACTGCTCTCCTGGCAATGCTCAGGTTCTGCACCGCTTCCATTAGATCCACCAACATCACTGTTTTCAAGTTCAGCATCAGGGCCATCAGTTTGCACACTGCCTTCCAGTGAGGGCAAGCTGGATTTTCCATCTATGCAACCTGCTTCCACCCGCCTTTCTCGCTCCCCGCTCTTACCGCTGCCATGGATCTCTGAACCAGGATCAGGTTTTGATGCACAGGCAGGAACCTTCACTCCATTCACTGCTGGTAGTGCTTCCCCAGCGCTCGCAGTGACATCCTGCCTTGCTGTGACACAGGCATTGCCTTGGCTTTCCACGAAGTCACCGTTTACCTGACCGGTGCATGATCCAGTCTCTTTGTTATCGCCAGTCTTGCAAAGGTCAACAGAGACATCGTCAGTGCCACCATCTGCATTTGTACCATCCCAGGCCACTCCCATGTTTGCATCCTCCCCATTCGAACACTCAGTGCCATTAAAACCACTGAGTAAGGGCTGAGCAGCACTGGCTGACTCCTCCTTAGCTGGAGATTCCTCTTCCAGGTTTGCAGTCCTCTCGCCCGCCTCTGCCATCCCATCCTCTCCCTGCTGCTGGCCCGCAGCCCTCTCAGCGGCCCCAGCACAGTTTCTGCATTCAGTTTGGCCCATAACCACATCCAGGCCCTCCAAGGAAGCTGGGGCTTCACCTGCAGCTGCAACCACAGCAGCAACAGTGCCAGCTGCACGCTCCTCGGCACCTTGCACTTCCTGATGGGCAATATCTGTACTGCCCAAGCCAGCTTGATCCAGAACAACTCCAGCAGATGTCATTCCAGCTGCCTCATTTGTATTTCCAGAGGATGGAAGATTTACAGCACCGTTTACACTTGCACACGGGCTCACAGTGCATTCCTTCTCATCTGATACAGTCCCAGAGTCTTCAGCAGAGGTTGGCCCCACCTCTTCCTTTTTACACAATATCTCTGTGTTTTTACTTTCATAGAATGACTCTGGGCTGTTTCCATCCCCCAGGCTAACCAAGTTACTGGGTGCATCATTAAAAGTTCCCAAACTCCTGCTGTTGCATTTCTCCTCCTGTTGGGTTTGGTCTGAGAGCTGTCCAAAGTCCAGGTGACCCAGATCAGATGGATTTTCCTGCCTTTCTTCTCTTGCCATTTCTTCAAGGCTCTGAGACGCAGTGGTCAGGCGACAATCTGGCTCTGCTCCTTTAGCACAACTGTCTCCAGAATCCCCCAGTACAGGCTCTGTCTGCTGCCTTGAACTCTGTAACAAGACACACACACACAAAAAAGAAAGTATTACTTTACTCTGTAACACTTTACCCTGTCTCCATTATGTGCAAGATCTATATCTACACAATCATATTCCATGTGACTCCCTCTGTACCTCTACCTGGTGTCACCCAGGACAGAGTTACAAATATACTTCAGTGAGTATTTTACATGTTGGTTTTGGTACAAGGTAATACTGAAATTATTAGAATGACAGAAGCATTTGTTGAAAAGAGCATCTGAAGGTCACCTACTCCAACCACCTGCCTGAGACTGGACTGCTGCCAATGCAACATCAGGTCAACCATGACTTCATCTTGCCAAGTCCCCAAAACTTCCAGTGATAGAGTACCCACAGCCTCTCTGGGCAATCTGTTCCCATGCCACACCACCCTTCCATGAAGAATTTTTTCATAACAGTCAGACTGAACACCCCGAAGCTGAAATTTGTCCCTCTACCCCCTTGCTACACCATCTGCCACCACTGAGATGAACTGTAATTTTGGTAATTGCTCTTCAAGCAGTTGTAGTCATATTTCTTGAGTGCACTTAAATTCAAGATCAGTAAACAGCAGAATTCAGTCTACCAAATAATGCAAATATATATCAGCATAGTCCCAAAGGGCTTTAAGCAAATGCTGTTTAAGAGCAACCTCAGATCCCTGCCCGATACTGCTCCCCAGCTCTCACCAGCGTTGCTCAATTTTCTCTACATGGGTGGAAATGCTACTTCAGACTTGGGCATTGGCTGACACTGTCCAAACACACCACTGCTCCTAGGACTGAACTAATCATCTAATCTATTCCTGAGAATTGCAGGCATAATTAAATATCTGAAATTTATTTCCTAACTGGAAATAAAAATTTCAAAATGATGACATACTATTAAAATTAATACATGCATTATCATGGAACAGCAGCAACATATTCAATTCCCCTCTAATCTGCATTTTCCTTCCAGAGCATCTGCTTTGTCAAGCTTTTATAGTTTGATACAATCAAACCTTTACTTAAAAAGAACCGCCTGTTTCAATAGCTCCTTTCATATTCTCTTCTCTGCAGAAGAGAATACATCAATGTTCACATCTTAGAAGAAGTGGCTTATTAAATTAACGAGCAACCCCAATCCCTCAAAGTACACCCTACAGACCTCCCCTGGTTTGCTTGGGGCTTTGCACCATAAGCTTTCTGAGGTCACACTGGTTTCTTGCTAAGTGCCTGTGAGTCTCCACAAACACAAAACTCTAATGAACTATGTGAAATCTGAGGGGTTTTTTGCATTTCTTTGTAAAAATATTTAAAAAAAATACATGTGTCCTAGAAGTCTAACTTAAACAGCTCCCTGCAAATTTTGTTTAAGATTTCTCAGAGAAAGCAAACTTCATACCAAAAATGTCAGCTTAAACACCCTGAATAATTAAGTGGCCAATATGTTAACTGATGCATCACAGGGAACTTCTGGGTACTGCATATACAAATAGTGGCTAAAATCATCACTGCTACCTCGAGGATATTGTGTTTACTTGTCTTTCCATGCTCTGAGGTTTGCAAACATTGAGCAGTGCCACAGAATCACTGAATCATGGACCACTAAATGTACTTCTGGCGTTTGCCATGAATCTCCCTCCTATTCAAAATAATCCTGCTACCCAGCTCCCATATATGCTGTCAGCTATGCCAGAGCTCTCTGAGGCTTCCCAAAACAGGTTAGCATTGGAGGCATGGCATCCCCATGCTTGTGTAGCACCAGGGATGGGACACAGGGCTCTGCGTGCAGTGGTACCTGCAGGCTGCAGCTACTTTTTGCAAGGGCAAACAAACACTGTGCCAGGAGTCTGGAGGCTGTAACACCACAGCAGGGCATGGACACCATGCTTCTGGCTCCTAGCCAGGATGGACAGACAGAGACCACACAGCCAGGATGGACAGACACAGACAACAGTGACACTCGCTTGGGAACAAGCAAGATTTTCAAAAGGAGGGGCCGCAGCAGCCCCAGCATCCTCACAGTGAAGTCACTCTGCTGATAGCCTGAAAAATATAGCCATCACCAAAGGAAGCCAACTGGCTTTAAACTGACCTGAAATAAATCTAAATGAAATAATTACAGGGCTGCTTTCCAAAATCAAATCAGATTAAATGTGAAATAAAACAGTGGTGGAAAGAAAAGTCTATTTCTGGTTTCATTGTCAGGCAAAATGTACCCATCTGGCATTTGCACAAGCAAACAAGCAGTGAGCTGGATATGTTGGCCATGCTTTAGCATCTTTTGATGGAAAGGGCAAGAGATTTCATGGTTAGCCACTCATGTCACCAGTTCCTGTTGAGATCTGGAGAAATTAAGATCTCAGGTACCGAGGAGAGGGTGAAAATGGCTCGGGATGGCCCCTACCTCTGAACATCCTCCCAGCCCGTTTTCAGTTGAGAATTCTCCCCTCCTTAGTTAAAGGAACAAAAATATCCTGTTATTTAGATCTTGCACCTCTGCAACAGCAGCTACATGAGCTGATGAAGGAACACCCACAAGTGATGGCAGCTGCACAAGACAGAGGGTGTTTCTGAGAAATGGCACAGAAGTGTTCCGCTGTTTCGCCTTCCCATCCCAACTGAGACTTTGAAGCAGGGAGAGGAAGCCCTTCCAAAGCCCCACAGCTCCTGCTGTCCAACCACCATGGAGTCTGAGAGGAGCACAGTGAAGGAACCATTATGGACACAGACCTTCTGTGGCCAAGGCAGGTTCATCTTACACTGAAGTGTTACAGAGACTGTTATTTTCTCCATCACCCGCCCCAGAGACTTTCCCCTCATACTCATCTCTGACCCTGAACTTTCTATCTGAACAGAGACATACCCACTGTGCTCAATGCCCACAAAGCCAGCCTCACTCCAGAGCCTGCCTTTAGCTGCCCAACAGCTGCCAGAGGACAGCATGTCTCCAGGGAGGTTTCCCTGCCCATCCAAGCGGGTCCCAAGGTAATGGAGAAGGCAGGAGGTGGGAGCAGAGAGAGCCCACAAAGCCAAACAGAGCAGGCATTGCAAAGCTCCAAGCCTGCTTCTCTTCTGAGAGAGAACATTTGCTGCCTAATACAGCTTTATCAGATCTCCCCATGCTCAAACAGGAAGAAAAAAGTGCCCACCTGGATGCTTGATAACGGCATCCAGAGAAAATGCCTAAAGAAATATGCCCTGAAAGATGCCTATGTATGAAAGCCCTCCCCAGGTGCCAAGCAGCAACCAGGCAGCACTACTTCTCCTTCACCACCTCAGCCTTTTCCTTACCTTGTGCTGGTGGCTCTGCATGTGCATCTGGAGGTGCTGTATGTCCCTCTCCCAGCTGGACGCCGCCCCTTCCTTGGCCTCAGCCGTCAGCAGGTACACGTCGAGCCCGCGGTGGTGCTTCACGCTGTAGTCCCCCGAGTGCACCGTGTGAGACAAGGTGCTCCAGGAGTCCGGCTCCCTGGCCTCCTCCCTGCCATAATAAAACAACAGGGGTGGGTTAATGAGCAGGCGAGGAGGGGATGCTGCGTGGCAGGACACGCACACTCTCCTTCACTCTAGACAGTCATCTAATCATCGGCCCGAGCAAAGCACAGCACCGGCTCCAGGGCCAGACAGACAAATACACAACGCACGCTTGGCCTGGAAAATTAATGTGATTTAGAGTTAATGCCAGCCACGAGCTTTATTTCACAAGGTCCTTCTCAGGTAGAGAGATGTGTGGTTTTTACCCCAGACTAGCAGCAAAGAGACAGCGACTACTTTTTGAATTGAATTTATCACAGGTGGAGATTAACAAAGCAGCTGCCACAGAACAACAGAAACCTGAAAGACAGAACTGCAAAGGGACAAGCTGGAAGGAACGAAGATTGACACAGATGCTACAACTTCTACACCAAACCCAGTACACTGCTCACAAACACCCAACAGCCATCAAGTCATAGCAATTTTGTCACTCCTGAAATGAATTTAACTTGCTCTGTGAAACTGCCTCTGTGTGAGATGTTCTCAGTATTGTCAGACAGCTGTTCTTCAGCAGCACTGTCATGGTTTTTCTTTGTACCAATCAAAAGAAGAGAAAGGAAAAGAAGATGCTATAGATCAGAACGAAAAAATAACTCAGTAGGTAAACGTATTCAATAGACATTTCTACTGAGTCATCTCTTTTTGAATGTCAAACCCTGATTTTGCACAAGCTTTCTACTCAAAGCAGTAATTCCTCAGGTCTCACTGAGTTGTACAGTGGTTTCACTGGCCCTTTAAGGGTGTGAGGAAACAGGTTCACAGATTTCATTTTGACTCAGAACTGCTTCAGGAAACCCAAAATCTGTTTTAATCATCCCAGACAGAGCAGCTTGTGCTGCACCCACCAAGCCCTGCATCCCTGAGGAGAGACATGAAGCCAAACAGGAATGTTACAGGAACAGATGATGCTGACCTGCTCAAGGGTGTGAGAAATGGGAATTTCTCTGTCTTCCTTTTACCAGGGCTGCATTTACTGAGACCTATCCCCAGTTGAGAAATGGGTTGGGAGTTGGACTAGATGATCTTTAAAGGTCTCTTCTAATCCAAACTATTCCATGATTCTACAACATCCTTTCTCCATTGCAGAGACCAGCCATCCCCAGATCTCCCTTTGCAGCACAGCTCCAGATTTCCCTGGAAGTGGCAGAGTTGTGTGCTTTTTTTCAAATAATTTGGAATTCAAGAAAGTACATACACAGCAAATGTATGCCATCAACCAAGTAAAACTACACATAGATTCCAGCACCTTTACTGACAGGTTTCTTACTTTAAAACTTGCAAACCTTTCTTATGGGCAAGTGCCCACCAGTAAACCCCAGGGCTCTCTGGGATGCCACGCAATTTAGAAAGCAAAGTCATAACGAGCAAATGACACCATAATCACAACAGGAATGGGCAGAGCAGGGTGGGGAAACAGTCAGACAGTTCATCACATGGTACAGAAACCTGTGCAGGCGATGGTGGTGGCAGTGACTATCCCTGCTCTGCCTTGGTACAACCATCTACTCGCTTCTGTGACTCATTTTGGGTTAAATCTGAAAGGAAATTCAGACAAAGCGAACCTATGACTTGCATCATTCAAGTCAACTGCCTTCAGCAGAATTACACTTGATTTAAGCTGAATCAATATTTCCACAGAGAAACAGAATGAAGCATCCAGTTTCTGGAGGTGATTAGCATAAATCTACAGAGGCACTGAAGTCAACTGAGCCATTAGAAGTGACTAAAGAAATGACCTTCCTTTATCAAGGAAACACAGACATTTCTGTCTGCAGTATTTTTCTTTTCAGATGTCATGTATGAGAAATCACTGTACTCAGGGCCACTTTCAGAGTACAAGAAGGCAGTGAGCACAAAACCCACAGTCACCCACTTATGGGGACAACAGCAGCCAGATAAAAGAACTGAGCACAATAAGTCTGCTCTACTTTCTCATCAGCTTCAAGGACACTTAGAGGCATCTCCAAATCAGCACCCACAAAGCAGCCTGCATGACTTGCTGAGCCTCAAAGGACCCTCAGCGACTTCAAAAGCCTGGAAATCTGGAGCAAGATGACAGGCAGAGTCCCCTGCAACACCGTGAGTGTGCTCACCCCTCCAGCAATCCGCCACCTTCACACGGCCCAGACAGATCAAATAATCACTCCTGCTTACAAAGACAGTGCTTTCTTTTCATACTCAGGCTGCCAGTCTGTGTTACACTTCAAGAAAAGCTTTAAACCTTTTGAGAAACCAAGATCTTTCTCACATCCAGCCAAGTACAAACTCCCAAGCTCTCATTTTTAGTGGCGTTCACCTATGTTATACAAAATTAAGCAATAAGGAAATGAATGGCTCAATCTATTGACTCCTTCATATCATCCCCTTCATAAACTGTTCCATCCCAGTGCTATGGTCTGCAGCAGAGAGGACAAATGGGGATTTGCAAGTGTTAACTCGTTTTCACACAGGTATTCCTGTTGCTCAGGGAATCCCTTCCAAGGCCACGTAGCTCATATGAAGACACTCCTGCTCGTTTGTCTTTGTACACTGAGCTTCACTGTCTGTGCCTTTCCTGCATGTCTCACTGCAAACCCTGGTTTTTATTGAGAGATGATAAAAACACACTTTCTTCCAGGAAAAAAAGCTTTGCAGTTATGTATTTTGTACTTCCTGGCTGTGAAAGATGTTTATTTTGTCCAGATTTGGAATTTTTGTACTGGCTGTATAGAAGTGCATACCCAAGCTGGTCTGCTAGGAGATAAAAACAGATATGCAAATATTTACTGCAGATTTATTAACAAAAATATGTATACAAACTCCAACCTTCAAGAAGTCTGAAAATCTGCTTCTGTTCAGCACAAAAATCCAGTTTGCTGCAGTTTGCCAGCAACAAAGGAAATCTGTCTTCTTATGAGATTTAACCATCTTGGGTCAATTCTTTCTCATTCTCTCTTTTCAACAGCTTCCCATCAAAATACGTAACAGATACCAGTGAACTGAAAATTTCATATGAATCATCTCCAAGCCTGACTTCTGCAGAAGAAGGTATCTTGGTTAAAAAAGCAAGATAGTGTTCAGTAAAAGCTGATAGTGTTCACTAGCTCTACCCTCTGCCCAACCATGCCATGCCACGTCCCACTAAAAAAGCCTGGAAGAAGTCCTCCAGCTCTGGTCCTTGGAGGTAAACCCAGAAGGGAAATCATTGGGTGCAACAAAGGACAGACTTCCCAGCCCTCCCTTTATCTGCGGAAAGGTGGTCCAAAAAAGGATGCCAACCCCAAACAGGGAGAGAGGAGAAGCAAACAAAGCTCCAAAATACTCTCAGGCCATGCCCCGCTCCATCTGGGAGCTGATTAGATTGCTGAAACCACAGGATCACCTCCTGCCCATCTGGCATGTAAGACAAGATGATAGATCATAGAATCACAGAATGGTTTGGGTTGGAAGGGATCTTAAAGATTGTCTAGTTCCAACACAGGCAGGGAGACCTTCCACTAGACCAGATTGCTCCAAGCCTCATCCAAGCTGGCTTTGAACACTTCCAGGGATGGGGGACATAAGTAGGTAACATTTTTTAATTAAACCTCCCAGCATTGCTCAAGTAACTAGTTTCTTTTCAAGGAGGAGCCACACACTGTACTCATGTTCTAAATCTCTTCTCATCTCGTGGGGGAGAGAAAAGTGCCTGCACCAGCACAGCATGGCTTCTGGCTTCCTGCAGATACAGGCAAGAGATTTTTAAGACAAGGGAAGATAAGTGGGAAAGGGAGAACAAAAAAAAAAAAAACTGAGTGAAAAGCTCTGCCCACCCTCAAAAGCTGCAGGAACTGTGCTTGGTAACAAGGGTTTGAAACTCGGTGGTGCTGGTGCTCGTGGCAGGAGTGTCTGCCAGTACCAAGATACCAGGTTTGAACCAGAGGGCAGAGGAACAGGAGGGAGGAAGAGATCAGAAGACAAAAAAAAGCCTCAGTGAGTTAAGCAAAACCTCATATCAGGAAGATTTATCCCACAGTTTTATAAAGGGGCAAGGAATGCAGTGTGGGAACTCAAGGTGTTATTTCCTGGGGATTTCCTTCAGATTTCTGAGCTGAAACAAAACAAATTCAGCAGCATTGCCAGCTCTTGGGATCTTACTGCAAGCCTGACAACAGCTGTGGGTTTATTCCGAAAGCACCAGCATCTAAAATCATGTGACAAAGAAAAAAATCAAAAGTTCCAAATGCTCCAGGAAAGTAGAAAAAAAGGTTTCTTATATAAGAAAATTCTACATATTGCTCGCTAATTTGAATAGTTTTGATATTGAAGGAAAGAGTTAAAGTTCATCTGAAGTAGAAATAATTACTAACCCCTCACAAACTGCAGTGAGTTCCAACACCAAACTGAATTCAGGATTGTATAACCTACCCTTCAATATCAGACTAAATATTTAATAACTGGATTCAAAATATTTAATGCTAACTTTTCAGTCCATTGAACAACACTCTCCATACAAATTATGGAGAGAAAAGCTGTCCTCTCTCTCAACAGTTGTTTGCACACATATCCTAAGGGAGTATGTCCAGTATTTCCTACCACAAAGGGTCTGTGCTCCTAAACCCATGAATTTCTTAGGCCCCAATGTTAATTATACATTAAAAAAATATAAAAATACAGCTACAAACTGTCATTAACTATATTTGCCAGAAAGTACAATCTGCATTCCATAAGAGTAACTGTTATTAAATGCACTTTTCCATTTGTTTTATTTTCAGAGTCTTATGTAACAAGAAGGGTGCTCTGCTTAGGATGTGGAACTGTGGGTCCCACAGAGAACACAGTGTCAACTTGAAGTCTTATCAGCAAACAAAACAAGTTTAAGGTGAATCTATGAAATAAACTCAAGAGTGAAAACAGATGCCATTTGTTGCATTTGAAATACTAAAGTACAGCCATGGAGACTACTCCAGCAAGGAGTGTTTTCTTTAC